TTCGGGAACTCTTTATTTTACTCTCTAAAGTTTTTGGAGTGAAAACAGAGCCATTGGAGTGAAATATTCGCTCTAGTGGAGTAAATTCATTCTAATAGAGTAAAGATTTGCTCCAAGAGAGTGAACATTTCACTATATGGTTCTATTTTTACTCCAAAAACTTTAGAGAGTAGTAATTTGGAGTTTTTTGACATATATGTATGCCTCTTCAATTGAAGCTCTCAATTAATCAAGTCGTACGTAAAACACGCTGTACCAACGTATTTTGGTTTCCTTCCCTTTCTATAGAATTTCTCGATAATCTCGATAAGAGAAAATATAAAATCCGTGTGCTAGAAAAAAATATCCCGATGTAGAAATATCGTAATCACATTAAAAGACCAACCAGACAAGGCAATCTTCAAAGCAACCCTATATTTTCTAATGCTCTCTCTGGAACGATGTACATACGTTAAACGATATCAACGCTGATTCAAGCCCGCGATATAAGCGTGCATCTGCCCCCGCGAGACGGGGGTTCGCTTAATCGACGCAAATAAGTTGGCGAGAATTTAAGATTAAGGGTTCGCAAAGCGAACGGTGTGCGCCCTCGCAGCTCCGCTTCGCACACCCTGGCGCGCCCGATCGCAACTCAGGACGGTGCAAGAAAGCAGTTTTGTTAATTATCCGACAAAAACAGCAGGCGCGGTCCCACGCCCTGCCGGCGCTATCAAGCGGGACGCTATCACGTGTGCGCGCGAACGGGAGCGAGAACCTGGCGATACGCGGGCCGAGCGCGCCGGGGTCGAAAGCGGAAAACAATGCTGGAAGATTTCTCATACCGTGCGGCGGTCGTGCACGATCGTGAGAAATAATTTCGACATGACGCGCTAAACCGTAAAGCAAACCTCTGGTGTCATCGCGCGTCTATCTCGGCACGCAAATTTTTTAAAGCGAAGACGGCGAAAGAGCCTCGCGCGGTTTTATTTTCGTGTGTTTTACCTACGTTGAAGGGTCTGTAATTGACATCGGGATTTGCAATAGAATTTGATTCATAAACTTTATTTTTAAAAGTTTGTGTAATACAAAAATTGAGGAATCAGGACACACGAATAAAAACTATGTATTACGTAAATACCATATATGCATGATACATATTGGGTTGGCAAATAAGTTCGTTCGGTGTTTTAGAGTGGAATAAAACACAGTTTTTTATGTACGCAAAATAAATTTTAATCAACGCTTGGGATATAAAGCGCCGTAGCAATCTCCTGCACCGATTGGGATGAATTTTCGATGATGGTCTTGGTATCAATCTCTGTCGGGCGACAGTCATTGAAATCGCGTCGGAACGTAGTATAATAACTAAGGGTGCGTTCCGTTTCACGCATAATACGCATGATGCATCATTTATCCTTGTTATTCGCCAAATGTTGAAGAAGACTAAATGATGCATCATGCGTATCATGCGTGAAACAAAGCGCGCCCTAATAGGTCCACTCTCTGTCGGCCCTTTGATCTTCTCGGTTCCGATCACGTGGTGGATTCCGCCATTGCTTTGGTCAGCAATTCAGCGGTATGTGTGTGTATGTGCGTACACTG